TAGCAGCCACTCACCCACTCACCGACTCCGAGTGGGAAAGGCAGAGGCATCAATGTGTCTTTCTCAATGTGCTGTGATTAACAATTACCATAAAAGCAAAGGATCAGGAAGCAGGAGGGAGTCTTAAGTGAAGGGCCCGTTTGGGGGATTCCAGCAAGGCCTTCAGAGAAGAAATGTGACTACGGTCTTGAAGAAGTATTAGAAGCTTCTGGAGCAACAAGATGGAGCAACAAGATGCAAGCAGAGGCCCAGGAGGGAGAGCACAGATGGACTACACGGGGGAAGGGTTTGGCTGAGGAGGGAGGTTGATTGGAAAGAGCATGGTGCTTCCAGGGGGCTGCGCAGTTAGGCCAAAAAGGGCTCTGTGGCCTGCTAGGAGTGGACACAGATCAGAATCAGTAACAGCAGCTACTGGGCTCTAAGACCCAGCCATCAGTGCCATCAGAGATGGTTTCCAAGATCTAGGCAAGGGGCAGAGAGATGTTCAGAGCTTTGAGTGTGGGCTGCTCTTCCAGAGGACGGGATTTTTGTCATCAGCACCTTCATCTCATCCGGTGACTTATTCCTGCCTGTAACTCCAGCTCCCAGAGCTCCCACGCCCTCTCTTCTGGTGCATCGGGCACCCATATGCATGGCGTATACTGGCACACACAGAGACCGACATACAATAATTTAAAATAGTTTACAACTAAATCAAGAACCGAGTAATCAGGATGGGACCCCCATCCCAGAGCGTGGAGGGTCTCCTGTGAGCCACGGACGACGTCGTAAGACTCTTCTCCAGTGGGCCAAGGGTTTAACAGAGTGGTTTAAAGCAGTGACATCAAGATCAGGGCACATGAAATCAGAAACGGACAGCACAGCCAGCGATACACAGCCTCATCCAGAAATCCAGACTCAAGACAGCCTGGGCACATCCTGCTCCTGGGTTCAACCAGTCTTACTCATGTAGGCGCCAGAGTCAAAGCGATGGCACTTACACGAGTTTCCAAAGTGCCATCTCCCAATCAACACTGGAACCTTGCAGCTCCTTTTAGTTTTTCTGCCCCGGAGAGGATTAACACCTCCCTCAGAAACCTCCGCTGGCTCTCAGGCCTCTCTTGGCACCCACTGGACTTTCAACGTTTCCCCATGCATCCACTGCTCTCCTTTTCCGGGGAGTCAAAGAAAGGAAATGCCAGCGGATCCACTGTGCTCCCAGGTCTATGTCTAGTTACTCTTGAAGAAAACGTGACGTAGATCAGGAGTTAACAGGCAGAGGGCAATGGTTAAGAGAGAAGGGCCTGGTGAGTACTGTATGGTAAGTTCTAGTGTCTGGACCTCCAAGTGCACACATAGCTCTGCCTTCTGGGCAGACTCTTCATGGCCCCGCCCGCCATCTACTCCACCATTCTCTCACACGGGCTCATTTTCTCCTTTGTTTAATTCAGGCCCTAGACCCTTGGAAACCACACTGGTAGAGTTCACAGAGAACATGCCTCCTTGAGTCCATTCCGCATGCCTCAGACCAAAGGCTCCCACAATCCAATTTTCACAAGTGTAACCCTGCCAACTGTCCACTAAAGAGCTGGCCTCAATCATCACCTCCATTCCCCTTCTATGGTCCAGGCTTCAGAAGAGAAAATAGTTTGAGATTGTATCTTATTGTTGTTCTCTTCCTTGTTCCTGCCGGGCCGGCCGCGTGCAGTATCTCCACAAGGCCTTTTACCCAGTTAGCAAGACAGCTTTGGGTCTGAAGACTCCAAAGAATATGCAAACAAACATCCTTGAGGGGGCCAGGCATGCTTCTCTGTGTACAGGTGCACTAGGCCATTCACACGGGTGTGGAGGCCAGAGGTCCATGTTAGTGTTGGGGATCATCGTCCTATAACTCTCTACCTTGATGGGGATGGGCGCGCTTGTGTTTCTCTTATTGGTTGACCAATAGCACAGTTTGGCCAATAGAGGCAGAGAGATAGGCGGGACCAGCACACGAGAATTCTGGGAAAGGTAGGCAGAGAGAGACCTCGAGGAGAGGGACGCCATGTAGCTGAGGAAGGAGGAGTAACAGGTCCAGAGTTAGATAATTAAGAAGGCCTAGTCGTCAGCCAACAGTTTTATAATCAATATGGCGTCCATGTTCTTATTTGGGGCTGAAAGGCAGCAGGACCAGGCTGACAAGGGAATTCCAGCAACACCTCCCTCCCTCCCTCCCTCCCTCCCTCTCTCTCCCTCTCTTTCTCTCTCTCTGTCTCTCTCTCTCCTCTCCCTTCTCTCCTCTCCCCTCCCCTCTCCCTCTGAGACAGGGTCACTCACTGAACCTGTTACCACAGAGTTGGCCGGATCTGCCTGCCTCAGCCTTACCCTCCTCAATGGTGAGGTCATAGATGCTCATCCCTGGCTCCAGCTTCTGTGTGGCTGCTGAGGACCCGCACAGTTCTCCATGTTCATTCAGCGAGCACTGAACTCACCCAGCAATCCTCACTGCAAGACTTCCAACTGTGTCTTAGTCTCACTCCTACGTGTGGATAAACACTCTTCACACCAGGCAGGGTTACCCCAACATGGGATCCCTGATGGCTACTGCATCTGTAGGGCTCGGGAGGCCCTCCTGCCCTAGCTTCCTCGGACACATGGCCAGCGCAGGACTTATTCTTCAAGCTCAGACTCCAACTGTGAAAAGCTACATTTATCATTCTGCGTCTCCACCCTCCATCGGACAGAGGCCACACTGGCTAATGTGCCATAGTCAATGACTGCAAACCCCTCAAGGCCCCATTTAAGTAAGCAAGGCTCTACTATACCCACTTAAGGAACACAGCCACTGTCAAAGGTCAAAGCTCTCTGGGGCTAGAACCCAAGTCCAATGCCCTTGAGATACCAAATGCAAGCTCTCAGCAGAGCCTTCCTGCCTCTGCTTAATTCATTATGACTTCCAGGTACTCAACAGGATGGGCCTCACACACTTAGGATCTTATCTGCTGTGAAAGTATACCTGACTGAGTTTATTTATCCAGTAAATGAATAAGGGGAACTTGATCAATGCAGAAGATTTTCTGATACTCCTCAGGGGAATTTAGACATGATTGGCCTTGCTGTTGCAAAGGTGGTATGGCATTGCAGGGGGATGGGGAGGTATTCTGGGGTGAACTCAGTCTTCCTTCAGTACTGCAGAATGCAGAACTCGAGATCACGTACACCAATTGCCTCATTATACCAAGGAGAGGTGAATGATACAGCATCAGGCAGGAGTCTGTGCAAAGCCACACGTGTAGCTCACACTGCAATTCTGAAATTAAAATCAAAATGGGCCTTACTTATGGGGCAGGCCCCACCCTTCTAGCCATCCGTGGGAAGTAACGTTCTCATGGCAGGCATCGGGGGAGAGGTACAGAGGTCAGGATCCCAGTACCCCATCAGTTACACCCCATCTCCACCCTATACACCCATCTACACCCCACCCTCCACAACTGCTTCCTTGAAAGGCTGCCCCTGCATATCTCTCTCAATGCTTAAGACACCGTCTTTGCAGGACAGAGAGAAACAGTCAAGATTTAGAATGGAAATTACCAGAAAATTCAACAACACGAAGGTCTCAGAAAACCAACTTACATATCTTACTCTAAACACGCACAGAAAAGAAGGACAATCCTGGTGGACCTTGCTAAAATTCAGATTCTGATTCAGTCGTTTGGATGCAACCTGAGATTCTAACTTCCACGTTAAGGATGCCAGTCTCTGCCAACAACCGGTAGGTGGACCAAACAAATCTGGCTTTGAATTCTGCTTCTTACATTTACCAGCTTTGTGATGACCTGAAGGTCCCCCACCATCTCTGCGCCTTAATCTGCTCATCTACAGACCCTAACCTAAACATGCACATGATGGTGTGTATTAGTGACAAGAAACTCCCAACACAATGCCTGGTATGTAGTAAGGGCTCAGGAAATCTCAGCAGCTGCCTGTAAGATCCACAAGGACCAGGATGATAGCTGGCTCACTGCCAAAGCCACAATATCGAGAGCACAGTAGTTGTCCAGGAGATATTCGGCCAATGAGTGCACACACAGTTTCAATATGTACACACTCCCTTGGTTCTGTGCCTTTTTTGCATAAAAGCCTAAAGCATCGAAATTACCAGAAGATTCTCATCAACAAGCCACCATCTCACAGAATCATATTCAACACTAAGCATCGTGTTTAACCACCAAGACACAGGTGGTGGTTCTATGCTCTTGAGAAATGTCTTAACTGCAAATAAATAAAGACAGCACCAATCTGGACTCTGCATTTCATTGAGAGAAATTACTGCCTTCCTTACTATATGTGGGCTGTCTCATGCTGATGTTATGAAAACAAACAAACAAACAAACAAACAACACCACTTCATTCTCAGACTTTAGTTCACTTCCAACCCAAATTCAGAACTATAAAGAAAGTCCAAAAAGCATAGCGTTAGAAAGACTAAATGTTAAGAGGCCTCTGGGGCAGAGGTCTCTGGGAAGTGCACACACTTGCTCAGGACAAGAAAGAGAAGACAAGTGAACAAATAGAATGTCAGCTTTTAAACCACAGGCAGTCAAGTTAGCCTACCCACAATTCCTCAACAGTTTAAGGATATCTCTAGTGTTTCCTGAAGACAGTTGTGTCATGAGAGCAAATCGCATCCTACAGAGGCACTGGGTACACTATGCAGCAACATATGACCGCCCACTCCGGATGGAAGAGGTCCCTTTATCAGGAGTTAGCCAATCATATTTTATTGTTTTTTTTTTTTCTTTTTAAACTCAGTCACCGCCCTCCCGGCTCTTCCAAACCATCACACTGCATTACTTCATCCAGAGCTACCCTTCCCTCGCAGGCAACTCACTAGGCAACCCACCTCTTCAATACCTTCTCGTTTCACTTCAGATTCCCCAGAAACACCCCATCACCCCACACAGTACCTGAGAGCTCAAGAGAAGGCAGGACTACCCAGCCAAGCCGGCGAAGGAATTGCAGCAAAGTATAAATCAGCTTACCTGGTATGAAAGGGACTGCCCGGAATATATCTGACAACCTGCTGTTAACGGGCTCATACGGGGAATCTTCCAGTAGATCATTTCCTAGAAATGACAGGAAGATTAGGCTCAGCTCTGGAAAACGGGCATGTTTCAAACAGTGTTTCACTGCTTGCTCAGAACCCCTAATCGTGTTATGACTATGTACCAAGAGAATGCTGAAGCCCCCAAAGACTTCACATGCACGTTTGGGGACATTATTATTTTTTTTTTCCTCATTCCTCTGCCTCTGTTGTCCTTGCTCTCCCCAGAGTGCCTAGAAATACTGGAGCACAACCCAGCTCCAGCTTGCCAGAAAACTCTTCCCACTCTTTGCAAAAAGGAACTGAAATCCGAGAGGAAGGAGCCCAGTGACGTCACACACGTCGCTTGCCTCCAGGAACCAATAGAAGAAAGGTGACCCCTGAGAGGCCCCTATTGCTTGTTAGCTCCCCAAACCGAGGCATGTGGTCTGCAGGTGGGAGCCGGGCTGTTCATGAGATCATCCCTAAACACAGGTTTGCACGGCTGGGTTTTAGACGTGGCAGCTGATAGTTTTCCAGCTTCTGTATTACAAACGTTCAGCGAGTCTCAGTGAATGGAAAGGGTGGGTGTCCATGGGGTACATTCACAGACTCCCCTAAGTCCCATTGGAATGGGCATTTGTGATTGCTACTTTGGGGCTAATCATGGTTAAACCTCAACAGCTGGTCCAAAACTCAACTAATCTAAGATGACAAATGTCATTTTCACACGTGGTGTGTTTGAACCGGTGTGTGGTGGGGAAGGCTGGCTCTGCAATACTTCATCTCGTGTCATAAGGGAAGAGAGAGGGGAAACTCTGGGCAAGATGCAGCAGTGTAGCTTTCTGAAACATGATTACAGCCTAAAGCCAGGGAAAGCCCCAGGCTGGCAGAGAAGGGGAAGGTTCCTTAGGCAGCATTGAGGGGGTCCCCACTCCGATGTTTGGACTAGGTTTCAGAAAGGTCAGTGGGATCCCAGGGGTCCCACCCCCCCCCCCCCCACGGATCTTCCAACAACCAGCTCCAACAATAGTGTTGGGCTGCAGCAAACACCAGCTGCCGCTGTCCCTAGGGGCCAATGAAAGGTCCTCATTCCGCAGCTGGGAGAATGGAGTGGAAGATGAGATCAGCCGGCTTAACCCCAAGCCTGACTGGGCTGAGGTTGCCTCCTGACTTGGGAGAGGAAGCCCCTGCAGGCATGCTGGTGGGGGCGGTTGATGCGTACCCTGCAGGCTCTGGTACATGCTCCAGTAGATGCGCAGACAATTCTTCTCTTTCTTCATGCCCCGCTTGCAGCGGCAGTTGTAGAGAGACTTCTGCTTGAGGGCCTCCATGGCGCTGCGGCACTCGTCCTTGGCCTCGAGGCCGGACGCCAGGCTGAAGTTGGTTTCTTTGCCCGCCACGCACTGCCTCAGTGTGCGGTACTTGGTGCTACAGCTCTGTTCCTTCAGGCACTGATCGCTGGCTTTCACGCAGTCCAAGCGGTCCCCGCCACTCACCTCGGCCGACAGCAGCAAATCTGCAGGGTGAATGGAAGAACGCTTGAATGCTAGAGACCAGTGGCGACCCTAATTCCAGGTCCCAGCAGGGGCCAGAGAAGGGGCGGGGGAAGGCGCGCAGCCCTGGGACATGATACCTCCACCCTCCTTGCAATAGGCAGACTACCTAAGAAGCTGATCTACCCCTCTTCGGGGAGACCGTTTTCACACCCCTGGGACCACTGCCTTCATCCCTTCCTGGCCCACCAAGGGAGGTAGTAGCAGCTTCGGTTAGCTGGCCTCCTTTGCCCGATTTGATGAGGATCATGCGGGCCCAGCATCCTAAAGCAGAAGCGGTCCTGGCCCGCTGGCTGCCCCGCCTCCCCGGGCACCTGGGGCTGCAGTCTCCGGGCCAGCCAGTCCGCGGGAGCCCAGGGCCGCCCCTCCAACAGCGCCCTGGAGCGCTCGGCATGGCCTCGGTCGGCCGAGCCGGGGCAGAGGCCGGAAAAGAGGCGAGTCTGCCCCGCGGGTAGGCTGAGACGTTAGTCCCAAAAAGTTCCCATTCCTAAGTTTGCTCTCTCGGACCCCAGCGTTTCCCGACCACACTCCACCTGCAGGAGTGCCTCACCGAGTTCTCTGCGACTTCCAAGGGGACCAACGCCCCAGGCGGTGAAGGTCTCCGACCCCTCAAATCCCCACCGGGCGGAGCTATCATCATTTTGACACAGCAAAATAAAACCAACCGCGCAGAGGTCCGCTGCCGCCGCTTCCCAAGCTCAGAGACCCTGGAACCTTTCACCCCGCGGCGAAACTTTGCACCCACACCCACGGAGCCCACGCTACAATTCTGGAGTGACCGCCGCAATGGACTCTTAGAAAAGAGTCCGGGGGAGGGGAGGGGGTGGCAGCCAGCGGCAGCCTCGACTTACCCAGGAGTGGCAGCGCGAAGTACAGAGTGGCCAGAAACATGGTGTCGATGCGCAGCGGGTCCCCGCCCCCCACAATCCAAAGCCGCCGCCGCCGCCGGGTCTCGCAGGGAGGGCTCAGCGTGCAGCGGTCCTCGGGCGACCGCGCTGCTCTGGCCACTCCAAGTTCAGCTCCATCCAGGGCGAGAGGAAACTCCCCGACGCTCTGCCGCCCTCCGCCGCCGCCAGCGACTCAGCCCCGGGCGGGCGCGAGGGCGGGAGGCGGACCCACTTTTAGGGGTTCAGTTCCGACCCAACCTGGAGAGGAGAGGAAAAGCGCTTTGAAACGCGAGCCCAGAGCGCTGAAGCCTCCCGCTCCCTCCCGCTCCCTCCCCTCCCCTCCCCCGCTCCCGCCTGGAGGGACTTCTCAGCGCTACCCCCACTCGGGTCCGAGAGCGGGAGCGGGAGGTGGGGGTGCATATATTCCGGGCGTGGGGAGGCTCCGGAACCCGCGGTTTGGGGCTGGAGAAGCGCCCAGCGTCCAAAGCCAGGGGCCATCCCGCACAACCCAAGAGGCTGAACGCAAGCACATAAATAAGCTTTACTTTCCGAGCAAGCGCCGGAAGCAAGCTGGCGCTACCGGAGTCGGAGCCTCGGTGGCGAAGGCTCCTTAGCCAGACCCAGCTGGACCGAGACCCTGCTCCGGGAAGTTGGCCGCCCTTCCTGGCTCCTGCCCGACCACTGCTGGCTCGATCTTGAGCGTTCTAGCACCCAGGCCACCAATCGCCGCCTCCGTCGCCGACACCCCCTCCCCCGGGCGAGCCTCTTTTTCCCAGGCAGTCCCGCAAGAAGAAACTGACGTCCTGCCTGGAGCCGTAATCCGGCTTCGGTGCCCCTGCCCCTCCCCGGCGCGCATCCCGGGCGCCTTCCCAGACATCCGAGCCTCACGCACTCGCCCAGCGTCCGAACTCCTGCGCATCCACACCACTGCCCGGGGAGAGCGAGCTAGCCCGCAGCATCTGCATGCCCCAGCAGGTGCAGCCCCGCACCACTAGCGCCCCCCTGGCCCCAAAGTTGGAGAATGCCAGCAAAATGGAAATGGGTGGCTGGAGCTGAAGGGGATGGCGATGGGTGCTCCAGTGGAAATGAGAAAACTCTAAATGCCACCAACCTGGCCTGAACTGACCCGCGTCCGGCTGAGGCGAGTAGCCAGTGTTTATTTATTTATTCTTTCGGGGTGACCCGCCCCCTCTTTCCTTTTCCGGGCTCACTTTCTCGCGCTAGGAAGAGAAGATGCCATAATCTGCTACAGCTCAGAGGACGGAGTTGGCCAGGACGATTTCCGAGCAGATACCCCCCCCCCTTCTCCCCGCTCCGCCCCGCTCCGCCCCGCCCCGGCTGGATGCCCGTTAGGGATGTCAGCGGTTATTGGAAGCGGTGGGAGAGTAGCGTGCCCAGATTGGTTTTGGCCGAAGGACCCTCAACCTGCTTTTTCTGCTCCGGCCGCCCGGCAGAGCAGAGCCAGCTCCTCCTTGAAGCACCAGAGCTCCACTGTCCGCCACAGAGACTTACAGGCAATGGGACGCAAAGCCAACAGGCAACGCAGCCTCTGGACCTGCAGCGCTACGCAGCCGCCGCCGAGACTGCGTCCCCTTCAGTGCACAAGGGCTCTTTATTTAGTGCAAAGCACCAATCCATCCAGACCCTTTTGAACACAAAGTTTTTTCCCCCTTCTCCACGTCATTCGCGGCTGTGACTCAAGACTTGGCATGCTATGGACTCACTCAGACCTAAGCTCTGAGCAGTGATCTTGAGATGAGCCCACCCACCCTTAGATCCACGCCAGTGTGAGCTTACTCCCCTCTCTCCCCCAGCACGGACAGCCAGACAAAGCAAAGCTTCCTTCCAGCCCACTGCTTTGAAGTCTGGTCAGACCCAGCCTTGGGTAATCAACCTAAAGGTGACCTCCATCTTGACTATTTCAAGAGTAATTTTTTTTTTTTTTTCCCTGAAAAGCCATTGTATACGCAGGACGCATCCATAGTCGCAACCCCAACTTCCAAGAGTCGCTCCAGTGACGCTGCTGAATACCCGATGTCCCTTAGAATTCCAGAGATTTTAGAGTACAGTCTGCAGCGGTGGGCGAAGAGATCGCCGCTCGCTCGGGGCTTCTATTGGAGACCTCTTCTGTGTTCAAGTTCGTCTCTCAGGAAAACCGAGTTTGAATCAGATCTATGAGCCCAGCTGTTAAATCTGCAAAGCCATCACCACAGACAATGGGCCGCCAAGAAGGACAGAAAAGAAAAGCTCTTGTTTGATCTGGGGGGTTAATTGAAAAGGGCATGGGGGCTTTAGTTTAAGTTTGAGGCCAGGTGTGAGGGCAGGGAAAACAGGGAGGGATGGGTCGCTCTCCATCACAGAGCAGCCAGGCGTGCCCTTCAGCTGTGGTGGCTGCCAGTTGGGCGCTGTGCATTGTTTGAAGTCCCCAAAGGGTGTCTGCTCCTTAGTGAGTGACCCAAACCCAGGGGGCATCCCGCCAGCCCTGCTCCTCCTCTGCTTTGCGCGCTTCCTCAGGAGCAGGTTTGAAGTAGCTGTCCTCTCCATCAGGGGCCCCTCCCCCAGCGTCCCATTCAG